AGGGGAATCGGAGAAACTCAAGATGACGGACGATCACTCCAACCCCTCTGTATCATAATGCAGAGCAACAAGTTAGGCTCAACGGCGATCTCTAACCACAAGACGTACGATTCAAGACGCTTTGCAACCCGAAAGTACCACCACCCAGTTCTCCAGGGACAGGAATCGCGCGGTGCTGCACCAATTATGCCGGATGCTTTATAGGCCCCCAACTCGTTGGATCCGGTGCAGATATCTGAAAAGCCAGTGATCCCGAACCTCACACAGCAGCTAGGGAGATGTCTCGGCTGGATATATGTCTGGAAGTGTTTCGTACCGGGAAGTAGGCTTTGAAGGAACAACTTGAGGTTGGGAGGCTCGCCTCCTGGGGACGGAATATTTCCTGGCTAATAGAGCGAGTCAAATAAAGTCAATTATGGTCATAGAGTGCCATAGACTAATAAAATGATATCTATGTTCTAACCGAATACATACAAACTTAGATTAAAAGAGCTCAGCCCCCGAATAGATAGAGATAGAAGGGGGCTTAGAACAAAGGCCAAAACACTTGAAAAGCCAGATCCTCCAACAATGCATAATATCTCACAAACCACGCTAGAATTTTATGCCGGACCAGCTAGCTGGTCTGGCTGCTCACAGCTTACGTCCGATCTTTTGCTCGACAGCGATCTTCAGCTCTTCACCAGAAGGCATGGTAACCACACTTCCACGGCGGCGACGAGACTCAATCTCGCCAATGATCTCCTGCACGGCTTCGTCGAAGTCACGCTCAGGATCGTTGGGCAGACCCAGCGTCGGGGGACGGATTGTTTCCTGGCTAGCATTGCGAGTCATATGAGGGCGATTGCGACGTTTGAGTCGACCGAGTAGGTAAGCCTTGGCCGGAGAAGCGAAAATGGCCATTGAAACGATGATGTTTACGATGCCGTAGTAATAGACGCGCGACCAGATGGCCATTGAGCCGTCGAAGCTGAGGACGATGAAAGGTATCACCGCGAAACCGAGGGTGAGTTGAGTTACGAGCCAGCTAAGGAAGTCGTAGTACCGCTTGGATGGCATGGGCTTGGCTCCATCGGGTGTGAGGAAGAAGGGGCGGACGTAGCGACGGAAGTCTAGCAAAACCTGTTAGTGAAACGAAATATAAGATGTAGGTGAGATAAAGATTAAAGCTTACTCTTTGCAACAGTTTGAATGAATGATCCTAGAACGAAGGTCATGTAATATCCCGGATAGAAACCATGCCATAGCGCACTGGTGGCAAATGTTGCCATGCTAGCACGGAATCCGGGTTTCTTGCCCTTCGGAGTGACACGCAGGTAAACGTAGTTGCGGAGCCAGTGGTTGGTGTTTTTGTTCCAGCTGCCGAGGTAAGCGTGTGAGTTCTGGGCGGTTTCCAGACTCCAAGGATCGACGTTCTCGAGGCGATTCCAGAAGACTTTGCCGGACTTGTTGTCAAATCCATTGTATCCCATACCGGAAAGGATACAAGCGCCCTCAGTGAGAGACCAGACACCATAGTACTTGAAGCGGGTGGCAAAGCCGAGCATGTAGACAGTAAACACGCGGCGCAGGAAGCCGAACTCGAGGAAAGCATCGGACAGCACGAATTCCGTGGTGAAGGATCCGCTCAGTTGCAGGAAGACGAAGATCCAGACCAGACCTACGACAAGTTTCTTTGCGGCGGGTGTACCGCTGCGGGGAATCTTGCGCTTCTTTCTTGTCGGAGGCACCTTGGACGGATCGGTGTCAGGGGGGATGTCGAAGAGAGTAGTGTCGAGCCAGCGACGATAGTCAACATATTCGAACGAAGGGCCGGCAAAAAGAGAGGGGAAGAAGAAGACATAGCCCAAGTAGTTGAGGATACTGGGGAATTCTGTAATCGCCGAGTACTTCTGCGCATCAGACAGTCCATCTTGAGATTTACGGCCGTCATGAATATTCCAGCAGAAAGAGGAGAGTTTCATAACCATGACCATTTGGGCTCCCGTGATGTCAACCACCTGATTATCATCGGCAATCTGGCGGTAGATGTGATTGATCGACATGTGACCCATAAGGAAGAGGAAGCCAATCCAGGGCATCAAGGACCCGTCCACATAGTATGCGATGGCATAAGTGCCTGCAGCACTGTAGAGAAGAGTGCGAAGTCCATCCCAAAGGTCGAATAGACCGACAATGTAGAAGAGCGAGACGCCGATAATAAACGCGCTCTTTTTTCCAGGTTGAGCGTCGGGGATACGCTTTAGGATCGCGGCGAGAGGGTAAGAAATTAGGAACGAGCCGATCAGTTTTACTAGAAGAGTTAGAAAGACTGGAACTTGAGTTGTCAAGTAGAAACCCCGAGGTTTTACATACGCTCATCGACGGAGGCGCCTGTGAGGCGAGCGGGATATCCAAACACTGCGGGGAGCATCAGTTAGCTTGAAGCTCTGGGGAAAGCTCCACGAGGAACTAGGGGGCCAAAAAGCAGCAGGGAAATACTCACAGGCATCTACGTAGGGCAACATGGTGTCGACCCAGCTTAAAGACCACTAGAGAAGATAGACCGCATGCGAAAAGGGGGGGCAAACTGGAGACAAGAAAGAAAAGAAGTTGTGGAGATGGACGGTGAAGAGAGTGGTGTCATGCGGAAAGCGGACGCGACTCAACATTCAACCAACTTCACCTTCTCCACCTTCCCCCACGCCCTGACGACACCACCTTCTGATCTTCTCCAGCTCTTCATATCTTTTCATTGTTTGCGCCTACTGCGCTCTCCTCGCCATGGATGTCGTCGCGGCCGTCTCGGGCTACATCTCCAAGATGGTGACGGCCGGCGAGTCGGCCACGGGGTCTTCATCTTCCAAGATGAAGATCCTGTTACTCGATAGTGAGACAGTGCGATATGCGCTTAACCAATTTAATCCTAAGGACCGACAGCTGACTCCCTTTGGATACAGGTTCCGATCGTCTCGACCGCCATCACCCAGTCCGCTCTCCTTAACCATGAAGTCTACCTCATCGACCGCCTCGACAACGCCGCGCGGGAGAAGATGCGACATCTGCGCTGCCTGTGTTTCGTGCGCCCATCTCCCGGATCGATTCAGCTGCTCATTGATGAGCTCCGCGAACCCAAATATGGCGAATATTATATCTATATGAGTAACATCATCCGCAAGTCATCCCTCGAGCGGCTTGCCGAGGCAGATAGTCACGAGGTCGTCCAATGTGTACAAGAACAGTTTGCCGACTTCCTGGTCATCAACCCAGACTTGTGCTCTTTGAACCTGAGCTCCCCGCTCTCACACCTATGGAGCCAATCGCCAGACCTGTGGAATCCCGATTCCCTGCAGAGAACCACCGAGGGAGTTCTGGCCTTGCTTCTGTCGCTGAAGAAGAACCCATTGATTCGATACGAGAAGAACAGTCTTCTGGCTCGAAAACTGGCCACGGAGGTTCGATATCATCTTACGCAGGAAGAGCAACTCTTTAATTTCCGCCGGACGGATACCCCACCTATCCTGCTTATCCTGGATCGCCGTGATGATCCCATTACGCCACTGCTCACCCAATGGACATACCAAGCGATGGTACACGAATTGCTCGGAATCAACAATGGTCGTGTCGATCTGGGGAATGTACCTGAGATTCGACCGGAGCTTAAGGAGATTGTCCTTGCCCAAGACCAAGACCCCTTCTTCAAGAAGAATATGTACCAGAACTTCGGAGACCTGGGCCAGAACATTAAAGAATACGTGGAGCAGTACCAGGTAAAGACACAGACGAACATGAATATCGAATCAATCGCCGATATGAAGCGATTCGTGGAAGACTATCCTGAATTCCGCAAACTTTCTGGAAACGTCAGCAAGCACGTCACATTGGTTGGTGAATTGAGTAGACGTGTCGGAGAACAAACTCTGCTCGATGTAAGTGAGTTGGAGCAGAGCCTGGCCTGCAATGAAAACCACTCGAATGACCTCAGGGTAAGTCAATACATCTTGCATCCTTTTTTGGGCCGCCACCTCTAACGATTTATAGTCGCTGCAACGAATTATCGCATTGCCAAACGTCCCAGCTGAGAATAAACTGCGACTGGTAGCCCTCTACGCACTTCGCTACGAGAAACAGCCAACCAACTCTTTACCAGTCTTGCTTGACTTGCTGGTGACTGCCGGCAATGTTCCCGCCAACCGAGTTAACACCATTCCTAACCTTCTCGCCTATCATCATTCCCTTCAAGCTCCACCAGTTGCTGGTGGATTCACTGATCTCTTCGAGTCAACTTCATTTTTCTCCGGAGCTAGAGATCGATTCAAAGGACTGAAGGGCGTTGAAAACGTCTATACCCAGCACTCACCGCGACTGGAAGTCACTCTTCAGAATCTCATCAAGGGACGTCTAAAGGAGCTACAATATCCCTTCCTAGAAGGCAGCGGACACACCAGGGATAAACCGCAGGATATCATCATATTCATGGTTGGTGGTGTTACATATGAGGAGTCAAAGATGGTGGCTCAGGTGAATGCCAGCTCACCGGGTGTACGTGTTGTGCTTGGCGGTACTAGCATTCACAACAGTACTACTTTTCTTGAAGAGGTCGAAGATGCCGTTGGCAGCTGGCCCGAGCCTGCTCCCACGACAGCTGCGGGACGGCTGCGACGGGAACTTGGACGATAATTGGCATGTTGATGCCCGTATCTATGAAAATCGAATCATGACAAAGTGCAATTGGGTAATTGTTTTTCTATAACATTGTAAAGGGGGGTTGTTGAATGAGGACACATTAGAATGTAGGCTATGTTGTATGGATGGTCTTCGAAATTTCTTTTCATGGCTTTGGTAGTATGTACCACGCTAATACTATGTAGAACAAAAAAAAAGTATACAAATGACACAGGTATATGACCTAGAGACAGACGTTGATCCAGATGCACCAGCGAGATCTTAAATCTATATCATTACGAAACAAAAAGGTACAGGGGGGCATGATTAGTAGGCGGTGCCATAGGAAGATGACCTCAGTCCCGTGCATGGATGATACAGGTTTCCTTCGCATGCCAGATGCGTCGTCGTCTCACGACATCCGCGCCAAATGTATCCTGGATGCTATCATCATGGGGGTCGTCATCTCCTTTAGGCTCTTCGCCGAAGCTTCGTAGGAGCCGCGCTTCTTCGACGCTCGCACCGAACTCGTACTCGCCTCTGCATAGCACCGTCACGCCGATAGATGCTTGCGTTGATTCACCACTCTGCAGGATTGGTAGAGCCTGCTGTAGCATACCGCTCCAAGCGAGACGGCGCGTAAGATCCAACGCGACATTATTGGGCTGATGGCGGAGACTAGGCTGAAGACGGAGCAGCGGATGGACAGGACGTGAGGAACGGTTGTGCACATTCACATTTAGGGTCAAGAGGTCGTCTGTCATGACGCGGAAGCGAGAACGGCCGCTTTGGGTAATTGCGTCTGATGATTCGGCCGAGGCCGAGGCCGTTGATGGAGATGTGAGAGAAAATGTCATTTCCACGTCCTCGAGACGCATGGCTTCCACCATGCGAGCGTTCATGCGGATGTTGCGAAGGTCGATTGACCCCTTGCGGCCAGTAGCTGGCTCGCTCCAGCCACCAATAACTCGTTTGAGGAATTCCTCGCGGAACCAGAAGGATTCTCTTGAAGCTGCCTCGGCCTCAAAGGTTAATTTGTTCGCGCTGACAACGAATTGCCGACGTGTACCAGTGTTGACGACGGGAATTGTTGCATGAGGGTTATCCAAGTAGACGCGGGGTAGTACAAGAACGAATCGAGATGTCTGGCCAGGTTGGAGGTCGCCATCGACTGAGTATTGACCGATGTGGTCACCCATTCCGAAGATGGAGTGTTCGTCAACGCGCAGCCACACCGACAAAGGACTTGGCCAAGCATTTCGCAGATCTAACAGCACAACGCAGTGATCTGGACCATAAGCTCCATTACCAAGGCGAGATAGAACCTGAGAGAAGGGGTCGTGGTCGGTCGTAGAAAGGGGCGAGTTGGGCTCTTGCTCGGATTGGACAGGAGAATTGATGTTATTCCTCCATGCAAAGTCACCGCTGAATGGCAGAACATCGCATCGAGCAACCTCAACGCTGGCATTTACCGTCACAGTCAGCGGGACAAACAGCTGTCGAGTATAGAAGACCTCAGGCAAGTCATCTTGCTTGGTTCCAAGACACGAGTAGTCGATCTGCACGGTCGTATCTTGTAAACCAGGTTTACCAAGGACGTCTACTGTGAAGGTAGCTTTCTGTTTTGGTGGGATTGAGCAATCCTTCGTGTCTGAATCTTCGCGGCGCCATCGCAAGGCTGGCTGGGTGGCTAGCTTCAGTTCCAACTCGTAGATTTCAACTGGAAGAAGGTTTTTGTTTTTAAGAGCCGATTGGAGTTGTTTGGTGGTTGAATCTTGGAACGTGAACAAGACAAAATCCACTGGGCAAGAGGAGGTATTCTGCAGGGTGATGGTGAACGATCTAATTTCGCCTTCCAGAACCATCATCGCAGATTGCGAGAGCGACATCGACTCGATGACCAAAGACGGTTGTTTGCCGATGACTTTAACTTCGCATGTTTCAGTTTCAGGGCCCTTTTTCGACAGCGTCTTCCCATCCTTTGATGTTGTCGAACTCCAAGATGTTGGACGTTCGTTGAGGGGTTTTTTTGCTGCGAGCCCTGTTCGCTTGAATTTCACCTCTGGGTCGGGCTTCCAGAAAGACCTGAAGATAGGGAATTTCCGCTTCCGACAATTTCGTACCTTCACAACGCAATTGGAGATGTTGAGGTTGCCATCTCCATGGGCTGTCCCCAAGACAATGACTTCCTGGAGGCAAAGGGGAGGAAGAGTGATGTTCTCCGCCACAGCATCGAACGATAGGCCTTCACCTTCTAGTTCCAAATACTCGATCTCAATTTCAAACTCATAAGGGTTCTGGAGCGTGACACGGAATGAAGCAGGCTCATCCATCACAGCAAGCATCTCAAGAGCCTTGCTGCTTGGCTTGGCAAAAGGGTTGTATAAGAACGGGTCTTTCTTTGACTTATCAGAGCCCGTTGTCACGGCCTGTAGCTCAGTTTTAGACCTACGGACAGGCCGCCTGGGAGCAGGTAACGCAAGCAGCTGTACATCGCGCACGAGGAAGTCATCCCAGTATTCTGCAGCCATATCCGAGGCTCCCAGCCGGTTAGCCGCACCGACAGTTCGCTTTATATTATTCAACAGGCGAATTTGCTCATCCTGAGGCAAGTATGGAGGTACCTTGTAATTCTCCCCGAGCATTAAGTCTCCTCGAATAGTTTGCATGAGCTCGACGGTGAAGCGTAAGACACCATCAAAATCAGGAAGTGCTTCACAGCAGTTGATGCACGCCTTGAGCACGTCAATCTTGAGGTTGAGGTCACCGTAACCGTCCAGAACACAGTGTCTGAATGAACGCTCCGCAATTGCTGCAACCGAGTCATAGTCACCGGGGGCAGATGACTGGCTAAGACGCTTCTCCCATTCATAAAATGAAGAGGGCTGAACACCGTATATCTCGCCTATCGTGGCTAGAAGAAGACGGACACTTGATTCCATATTACCAGGGCCCACATCAAGAGCATTGACATCAAAGACAGTATCGCTCAGAGACGCTAGTCCTGCAGCGGGGTGAATGCCCACTTCCGCAGCGCCGATCTTCCGAGCCTGTACAAGAGTAGGGATCATCACAGACAAAAGCTCGCGCATCACAAATGCTTTCTTCCGAGGTAAGTCGAGAATGTTCAAGACGGATACAACACCAACTACGATAGGAACATAATCGGTAGCTGGCAAGTCCGCACCCGGAGAAAGTGGAAGAGCACGGAAAAGGAAGTTGGCAATGTCTGTCTTTCGGAGCACAACTGTTCCCCGAGGTAGTTCCGGCTGGAGCAAGGGACGAGAGGTTCGTTCATGACAATATGCTTTAGTGCATTGTCATCGAGTGAGCCATCCCGAACACGTGCAGACACCAAAAGCCTTGATAACCGGATTACCGTTTCCGAAAAGACCAACTGAGGAAGAGGCTCATCGGTGATATTGGCAGCGCGGTTGTGGAGGTTCAGAATCGTATTCGAAAGATCTGGCAATAAATTGGCCAGGTTTTGAAGAGATACTATCCGGTTACCAGCCGTGGGAGCATTAATGGAGTCTCTAATTGCCTTGTTTGTTTTTTCGGAAGCAGGATAGAGCACATTGGGGATCTAGATGCTGGTCAGATATCTGCTTTACCGTTTCATGAGATGGAGGGGCAGAATACATACCTGAAAATCCATACCTGCCCACCCCATCATAAGCAGACAAAGAAGAATGGATTCAAGTGCCTTGCCATGCCAGATATAATCACTTCCTGCTCGGGCATTATTCGCCGCCTCGGACAGTTCCTTGAGAGCATCAGGCCATCTTCCTGCCTGCAGGAAAAGAGTACCAATAACGACTCCAGCACGGCCTTTGATTCTATTCTTCGTTCGATCAGTGGCACTCAATCCGCTCACAGACATTCGATCCCGACTATGCTCCTTGGGCGAACTTATCGAAGGGCTTCTACCCCCGGAATTCGTGCGTGATAGATGAATTGACCTTGTGATTTCATCGAAAGTTGTCGGAGTTTCGTGATCACTAGGTGCGGGTGAGCTGGCATTGGAGCTTAAAGGTGTTTCTGGTGGTCCCCCATTGGGGCTTGAAGGCAGCTGCGCAGGCAAGGTCATGCGGTTCAGTAGTCGGTCTACTGGCCGAGGTCGTAGCTCGGGGTTGCGATGTGGTCCCCATGAGGAAGCTTTGGGGGACTCGATCGACGGGATACTTTGGATTGTCTTTGCGAACTCATCAAGCTCCCCGAGTAGTACCGATGTGATGTCACATAGAACCGTTTTCATAGTAGTCGCTTTAGAGGCTTCAGGGCGAGGAACCCAGAGCACATTGTCCGGTCCATTCGTAATCTTCCCAAGGCCTTCATAATCAAACACCAGGAGCTGGTTCACCAATGCTCGCGGATTTCTTTCCTTCACCGCATCAAGCTCCTCCAGCAATATGTCCAAGCCCTCGGGTGTTGGGTGTTTCTCATTTATTCCAGAGCTCTGTGGAAGCTCCGTCCCATCGGCAATTGCGATGATAACCAATGGTTCTCGATATATTTCGAAGGGGAACAGCTCAAGGTGTGACGTGGGGGGGAACCGAGAAGGATAGGTCGTAAAGAATCATTCCAGTGGGGAATGCGAGGGGAGAAAACATATCTGGAGAATTGGACCGTCAGTATCACTGGTTGAACAGTTGGTCTATCCTCTACTCCCAAGGGGCCATGGCATACTTCGATTTGGTCGTGAATCGGGGCTGATATCCCCTAACCGGACCACATTCTCAGCTTGGAGTCGGGCAGCAAAGCTCAAGAACCGCGAGCGCTTGATTTTGCCAATTGGAAGTAGCAACGCCCTCAGGCGCGCCGGCGCTATTGGAGACAAGGGGTCGACCCCCATCTTGTCATTTGAGGGAGACCGGAGAAGCGGTTTGCGATATCAGGCCCGCATTCACAGCAGTATAACCGGCTTAACGTCCAAGCGTCATGCGACAGATGAAGCGCCGCAAAATGGAGGAGTGCGCCACACCGGATCAGTCGTAGTGACTGTACAAGCAGTGAAAGCAACAACTGACTTGAGCTTGACAAGTAAATCCCACCTTCTCGAGGGCTCCTGAGGCCGATGGTGGAGCTGCCATAACACCATGACTAAGCCGCTGATCTAAGCCGGCTTATCGATAAGCATGTCTCCTCCGCCGGCGAGTCCGCATCTCCGCCAGATCCCATCATCATTTCAACACTTCATTCCTGTTGTTTGTGTCGGAGTTTCTGTTGCTGCATTCCCGGACCTGCAGTCCTTTGGCCTATGAACTTCGTTTTCATCTGTTTGCCATCTATCGTTGATTTCACGCCCCAGAATTTGCGACCTGCTTGTTTACATCCGCAAGATGCGGTAGCCGCATGACGTCTCAGATATACACTACCAGCGGAAACACAACCTCGAGTATTACTTTTCAGATTGAAGAATATTTGTTACTAGACAGAGACCACGTACATAGACTTACAATATGGCTCTGAACGTGGACTTTAACGCGCTGAAGGCCCGGACTATGGGGTCCGGTGCCGATGAAGAAGCAGTGACGGTCGATACCAGGGGATTGATTTCGAAAGTTCTTGCCCGGTATTCGGGGAAATGGTATGTCTTATATGGTACACCGAGGGTATGAAAATGATGAAAGCTGACCCTGGCGCTTAGGACTGTTCTACGAGAAATGATTCAAAACGCGGCCGATGCCTCCGCATCTAAAGTGACTATCAAATTCGAGACTCTACCTTCGACAACGGTACCCTCTCCCAGTGTCGACCGACCCAACAACCCAACTGAAACATACCATCTCAAACCACACCCTTCGTCGTCTCCTCATATCGAACAACGGTCTGCCATTTAGCGAGAAGGACTGGGCACGATTAAAACGCATTGCGGATGGCAACCCAGACGAGACCAAGATCGGTGCGTTTGGTGTTGGATTCTACAGTGTTTTTGATGACTGTGAGGAACCATTTGTCTCCTCGGGTAACCAAGCCATGGCCTTTTACTGGAAAGGCAATGGGCTTTATACTCGCCGATTGGATCTGGGCGATACCCCAAACAAAGACACCACGTTTGTGCTGGATTACCGAAACGACTCTTCTCCTATACCGTCATTGATGTCGCTTTGTCAGTTCCTGTCGAGCAGTCTGACATTTGTTGCCTTAGAAGAGATCGAGCTCATATTGGATGATTGGAGTCTGTTGAGGCTATCCAAAAAGACAGCACCAGGCGTCAATGTACCTATCCCCAGAGATATTGAGACGAAGACTGCAGAAGGGTTGATGAAAGTCGCCGGTATCACCCAAGAAATTGCGCAAGTGGATGCAGCCTGGATGCGGATTGTCGAGTGGAATCCGAACGCAAGCATATTCCGTCTTGATAACCTTCGGGACACGACTAGCTCTCTTCGCAGCTTTTTCTCGAAATTCACCGGCCAACCAGAAAAGTCAACAACTGTTCAGCAAGCAGAGCGTCCCGAAGAGCCAAGTAACATGGCCACCATGGTGACCGCAACCGTGTTCTTGCACATCAATACAGCCTCGATCCTACCTTCGGTTAGCCATTCTCTGAGCAAAGAACTTGAAAGAGCCACCCGCAAACCACCGCCCAAGAAAGCGACCATCGCCATTTTAACACCGTCTTATGATGCCAATATCGCATCAGGAGCATCTGCTTCAGAATCCGAAATTCTTGCGTCCATATTGCCCTCGAAGTCAGGGAGGGTTTTCATTGGCTTTCCTACTCAGCAGACTACTGGTCTTAACGCTCACGTATCTGCACCATCTGTCATCCCAACGGTTGAGCGAGAAAGTATCGATCTAAACACTCGTTATATCAGTAAATGGAATCTCGAGATGTTACGAGCGGTTGGTGTTGTCTGCCGCATTGCCTGGTCGGCCGAGATGTCCACCATCAAGAGTAAAATCGCATCTAAACTCCCACCATCCCGCTCAAAAATCCGAAAAGAAGACATTGTCGATGTACTCCCCGAGGCCATACACACTGCGAACCAGTTCGTGTTTCGCGAATCGACGCCCTCTTCCGTCTTGGGTCAGACCATTGAGGATGCTTTCTGGATGTGCAACAAGAACGCTTCCATCGAGATTCTTTCTACTTGCGGTGTCATCCCAAGTCACCAGACACGAATCGCTCCCAAAGACCTCAGCTTCATGGATTCAATTCCTGCTCTGCCGGATGACTTTGTGAACGGTGCCAAGGAATTTGTCGAAAGATTAACATCATTTGGGTTGGTAACAGATATCACAGTGTGGGACATCAAACGTGAATTGGAGTCCAGCACCCTGCGATCAAGCCAAGTGGTCGAGTTTCTGACCTGGCTCGGCCGCAAAACTGTGTCTGGACAACTTGATAGGCTTTCCGTTCAAAGTCTTCTCCGGGTTGCGGTTGCCAATGATGAGGACAAGGAAGGACAAGCGACACGCTTGATCATATTTGCCGATATCACTAGCTTTTTAAACCCTCAACGGATCCCATCTGAACTTCCAGTTCCATCCTCCGTGGTACCTTTCCGATTTACGAAGTCATTGAGCAAACAAGAACTCGAGAGTTTGGGATGGGTTGAGCTGCACATAGTGCCTTGGCTGAGCTACCTTGTCAACAAGGCCGGGGATCGTAACCTTCTCAGCGCAGATCAAGATCTCACGCAAAGTTCCACTTTTGCTGGCCAGGTTCTGCCAGTTCTGTCGAAGTCATGGGATGTCCTCAGCCCTTCTGGCAAACAGTCTGTTGTCAATACCCTTCAGACTCAGACTATTATTCCAACCAAACTTGGAATGAAGCAGCCTGGGCAGACATATTTTGCCTCTGTGCGCCTATTTGACGACCTTCCGATTGTGCATGGTCTAAATGGCGTCAAAGAGAAATTTTTGGTAGCGCTCGGTGTCCGCAAAACGGTTGAGCTTGGTGTTATATTTGACCGTCTCATCAATGCTGAGCCTGTCGATGCTAAAAGCGCCCCGGCACGCAAGTGGAACCACGTGGATCTGATCCGCTATCTTACATCTGTTCGTGAGGATATCCCTGCGAACGATATCCAAAGGCTCAAAAACACCAGCATCTGCACTGCGGAGAGCACGAAAGATAACCAGGTTGCGTCTGGGTCTCGCTACAAAATATCTGAACTCTACGAGCCCAAGGATTCGCTCCGAGCTTTGGGTCTTCCAGTGATTGAATGGCCAGGGATCTATACTAGCACCAGCAACGAGGGCAAATTTCTCTCAATGATGGGCTTGAAAACTTTCCCATCTGGCTCTGAACTACTTCGTCTTATGATTTCAAGCGACCAGGAAAAGGATACTGGACGAAAGAACAAGGCATTATCGTACTTCCTCAACGAGTATCATACCAACGGCTATGATGCATTCGACATACGCGCAGTCACTGTCCCCTTCCTGCCAGTTGAAGGGTCGGAAAGTCTAAGCACGTCCAAGAAATGCTTTACAGACGAGGGGGCATCTCTGTTCGGATTTCATATTCTCGAGAAACGTCTTCACCCACATGCCCTTAAGTTAGGGGTTAAACCCCACCCGCCTATGACAGAATGTCTTCAAATACTCATTCGCAAGCCTCCCACCAGCCAGAAGGAGGCCAGGATCATTTTCAGATACCTGGCAGGCAGAGTCTCTGATCTCAATTCGCAGGACATCGAGCGTGTCGGCAGTGCCCCTATCATTCCTATCGCTGTCAAGGATCACTCGGAGAAGAGCTCTGGGACCCGACTTGTTGCGCCGAGACTTTGCTATCTCGGCGAAGGCGAAGATTACAAAGACATCTTTGACTTTGTTGACTTTGGGCAAGAAGCCAACCTTTTCCTCATGGCTGTCGGCTCGAGGCGGGAGCCTACCAAGACCGAGATTGCACGAATGCTTGTGAAAGAACCCGCTCGCGTCTCGTCTGCATTCCAGAGCTCAGAAAAGTATTTGATGCTTCTGAGAACTCTTGCGGAACATCTTCCTATCCTTAAGAAGGACAAGGAACTTTTTAGCGAGATGAAGAGGGCGAAATTTCTTCTAGCAAGCCGTGATATTCCTCCTCAGCAAAGTGGCAAAGGAGCATCTGCTGAGAAGGCTCTTCCGGACCTTGATGAAGATTTGGACATCAGGGAATGGAGCCTTTCATCAGCGAGAGATGTCGTTGTCGTGGACGATTTCCAAAGCTTCAATCTTTTCAAAGAACACATCCAGGCCGCACCGCAAGAGGAAACGCTGGAAAATTTCTACGTCGCCCTTGGTGCCATTCCTTTGAGTACACTTGTTGAAGAACAAGCGCGATTCGGTGGCGTGGCAGTGGACCAAAGTTTAGGAGCCAAGTTACACAAGATCATTCTGGAGCGCGCTCGGCTCTTCTTACACGACCAGCCCGCAGACGCCATCCAGCATGGATCCCGATGGCTTGAGAACAGCTTTTCGGTGCAAGTCGTCAACTCGATCTCTCTCACACGATCACTCAAGGGTCGACGTGTGTCGCATACACAAAAGCGAAACGCTATTGTTGCACGTCTATCAAGCAATTGGGGATTATGCATATACCCTGGCAAATATGACCTGTATGAGATCAGTCAATCGCTCGTCCATTTGATCCTTAAGCGTCCAAAGCTCCATTCAACTTTGACACTTGAGATGCTACTGAAAACAGACCTCTTGGAGCTCCGTGCTCGAGGCTACAATGTGGAACGTATCCTTCGACAGAAGGCCCAAGAGGCACGAATGGCAGAGGACAAGCGACAAAAGCAATTAGAGGAAGAGAGACGTGTTCTTCAAGAGAGAGAAGCTGAATGGGCAGCCGCGCAGGCTCAGCGAGGCAAAGAAGAACGTCCTCCGAAAGAAGAACGACTGGAGGACTCTCGGCCAAAATCTCAATCTCAAAATGCAATGCCTGGCGTCTTTCCTGAATCGCCCAACAGCAAGCAACCAGCGGCGGAGACACAGGTTGCTCCAACTGAACCTCCCATGCCAGATCGTGCCCCTCGCGGTCTTTTTGCAAACTTGCAGAAGCGTTTTGGGTTGGACGGGAATCGTTCGGGCTCAAGTGCAGAGCCCGACGGGCAGTCTCAATCATTGCTTCCTGAATCCTCAACTCCCCCTCCACCACCCTACTCCCCCAACCCCACGGATTCCCAGCAGCCGCGTCCAGAACAGCCTGTCAACGTTAGCTCCCCGCATCAACTGAACCGACAACTTCTTTCTGCCGTGCAGGCATGCCGACCTCATGGATCATCCGATGTCTTCAGTCGGCCAGAGACAAATCAGATCTCGGAAAGCAAATCTTATTGCGATGAACGACCGAGTCATGACTTGGAGTTTGTTGCCAGTCTCCCCAGCGGTGTCAATGTTTTGTTCGTCAGAACCATTACTGATCGGTCTGGTTTCTTGGCGGCTAACCGTGCTGGAATCAACATCTTTGCATCAATCATTCTCGACTGTGGTTCGATCTTTGCTATGCGTGCCGACAGCCTAAGCATCTTTTACGACCCGGGCGGCAAAACGATCGCATTCAACCGAGCCGGTAGTATTTTCTGCAATTACTTCTATTTCCAACAATTGCACGAGCAGCCACTACTCCGAGGTCCCAATCCAGATCGGACGGATGCAATTGTTTACTGGTGGGTGATCCTATGCCATGAGTTGGCCCACAACCTTGTGGGCGATCACAGCTCAGCGCACAGTTACTACACGGAGAGCTTTGTGGCTCAATATTTCCCCAAAGTGGCCAGCAAGCTCGCCAGTCTCCATACCGGCGCTGCTGTGTCCAACCCTTGATTTATTTTGCAGTGACCTTTGAAGCGATAATTGAATACCCAATTGCTGTAACCTTACTGTAAAATTCTCCGATAGATTAGATGGAATCTAAAAAGTGCGTTGCCACCCGAATCCATTCCGGCGGTACCCGCTTTTTACCTTTGCTCAACCTTAATTTTCTTCCCCTGCAACCTCATCTCCCTCACAATGCATTGTTAAACGGCCTCATTCATACCAATACTCATATAACCAAGTGGGCACAATGAGCCGTTGATTGCCTGACCTTTCCTTTTCCCCGCGGAAAGAACCGCCCCGTTCTATGCGAGTGTGAGAGAGGGAGAGGGGAAACTCGACGCTCGCCACCGAAGCCTTATCCGGGCCATACCTGACTCCAGCAAAATTAGTCACCAAGTTGTGACAGGCACCAGAGATCCTGCAGGAACACTGCATCACTTCTAGTGACAACTATTTCATTATTCCCTGCAATTGTTGTGCATTGGCCGCCATTTTTCTAGCGGGGCTGCCTCGACCTCATCATGGCACCTTTGCTTGGCACAGATGGCAATTGGGATGGAGATGCTGCATGCTCATCCCGCAAATCCGACATATCAGTGCCTCATCTCAAGAGTATTCTTTATGTTGACGCCTATGACTCATTTTCTTACAATGTCGTCGCGATGCTTGAGGAGACGCTCAGCGTTAAAGTCACCGTCATAACTATCGACTCCGAGTGGCCTGATGGAAACATGCACGAGTTCCTGCGCCATTATGAAGCCATAGTCCTCGGACCAGGACCTGGAAACCCCAGAATTCCCAAAGATGTTGGCATCATGAAGGATATTTGGAATTTGGAGAATGCCGAATTGCTCCCGGTTTTTGGGATCTGTCTCGGGTTTCAGAGTTTGTGCTTACATCACGGCATCCCCATCGATAGACTGCCTTATCCTATACATGGCCAAGTTCGTCAGATCCCCACGACGGCCAAAGATATATTTGAAAATGTTCCATCTCTTGAAGTGACACTTTACCATTCCCTCTACGCCAATCTTGACGAGACGATCGAATCGCACACTTCGCCAACCAATGACCTAGACTTTCTGGCATCTTTGACTCTGGAGGATGGCGATACTCCGACTAACCGGATTCCAATGGCCGTTCGACATCGCCGCAAGCCATTCTGGGGTGTTCAGTTTCACCCTGAATCGTGCAAGTCAGAAAGAGAAGCGTGCAAGACACTGTTGCGAAATTGGTGGCAACTGGCTCTTAAATATAACAAAGTATCTGGCCGCGGTGGTTATGGCCAGCTACCCACCGCAATAATCAGCCCCTGTGAAGACACCACACCTTTTCCGAATATCGCATACGACATGTTGAACTGGAGCTCCGCTACGTCTGTGTGTTCCGCGCATCGAGTATTTGCCCGGGACTCTCTGAGCCCCGAGGCTATCAGTGACCTATTCAACACTCCAGGATCTCCCACGGTGCTATTTCAATCCAATGGCCGATATAGCATTATCTCAGTCCCGAGCCCTGGATCTTGGAGGTTGGAATACTGGGCCGACACGCAAAATATCAAGATGTACCAACTCCACGGCAAAGAGCAGAAGATAGAGAAGCGCATCTCCGTCGATCAGCTATGGGATGCTTTGCGTTACTTGATGGATATGAAGAAGGTCGACTCTGGAAGTTCTCAGATCCCCTTTTGGGGCGGCTTCCTAGGATATTTCTCCTACGAGCTTGGCCTGGCCTGCCTTCCTCATTCCCATGGATCGTCACCGAAACCTAAATTTTCTGGTAGTTCAAGTGGCAATTCTCGGGAAGATCTCCCGGATGCCAGTCTTCTATGGTGTGAGCGAAGTATCGTGATTGACAACACTACCGGGGATGCTGTGGTTCAATCAACCAATGAATCGGACAATTTGCCTCTTGGGTGGCTTGATGAAACTTTACAACTCCTGCAAGAGTGTTCCCCTAGCCCAGAAAATAGCCAAGGCGATGATGTTGCTTTTCTGGACCCGATTCTTCGTGAGGGCATCCACTCAACTCCCGACGAGTCGGAGTACAAACAAAAAATCGCAGCTTGTCAGGCACAGCTCACAGCTGGTGAATCTTATGAACTTTGCCTTACAGGCGAAACATCGATCTCCCTTCCCATCCCAACCGGAGAAAACGATCGCCTCGAATTCCCATGGAAGCTATACAAAAAATTGAGAAAGTACAATCCTGCTGCATTCAGTGCATTCGGAGACCTCGGAAATACAAAGATTGTCAGCAGCAGCCCGGAATGTTTCCTCAATTGGGACCGCAGCTCCATGCTAGAAATGAAGCCAATGAAAGGCACCGTGAGAAAGTCACCCTCGATGACTTTCGAAAAGGCCAAGGCAATCCTAGGATCGTCGAAGGAAATGGCCGAGAATCTGATGATCGCCGATCTAATTCGGCACGACTTGTATGGCATCTGCGGCTCTGGTGGCGTTCACGTTGAGAAGCTTCTCGAGGTGGAAGATCATGGCCGAGTCTATCAAATGATCACCCATGTCAAGGGCGAAGTCAGCCCTGAAAATCTGGGATGTTCTGTTCGCCACATGCCACAACTCAAAACCTCGAATATGGGTGTTCATGGTCTCACGGCTCTTCAGCGATGCTTACCTCCTGGTTCTATGACAGGGGCACCCAAAGAACGCTCCTGCATGCACCTTCAAACAATTGAAGCGCGAAAACGCGGGATTTACTCTGGCGTCATGGGCTATCTTGATTTGGGTGGTGGTGGAAGCTTTTCGGTTCTGATCCGTACCGCCTTCACCTCTAACTCGGCGAATGAGTCCAATCGACAAGTCTGGCGAATTGGTGCCGGTGGCGCTATCACTACCCTGAGCACCGCCGAGGGCGAGTGGCAGGAAATGCTGACAAAACTGAACACTGTCCAAAATGTCTTCAGGCCATCCAATCCTGCCTGATTTGCTAGAATGAGGTTGAGATGAACGTTTTCTGTACATTTGTGGTATTTGAGTACGACCACTACTGTCACAAGATCACGGAGCACTCTGATCGTGCTTTCAACATCCGGATCTATCAGCTGGTCGCTGAAGTGCATTCAACATCAAGCGTTGGAGTTGGGGTTTGCTTTCTATAGATTTTACATAGCACACATGGGCAAATAGCCTAGTTAAATAACAAACAATACATAGATAGATCACAGTCCTGCCAGCAACTCAAATATTTGTATGAAAAGTTAGTTAGGAGGTTGGCAAGTGAAAAAGGTGGAATAAAGTGAGGAACTATACTAATTTCTTTATAGTTAGCTGACTGGAGCTAGTCGGTGATCGACCATATGCAAACAAGCTAAACGTCTTTTTCTCCGCTTCAACTCTCCGCCCTTCTTTATCTGCACGTCACAATTTCGCTCGCGCCTCCAGTCGAAAGCTGAAAGGCAGACAAATGAAGCTGGCCCGAAATACGGCTGACGTGATAAATCTAAGCTACTCATGGCAGGCCAAGATTCCTCGATGGAGGAGATCCTCTGGCGGTCTCCCCCGCACGTCCAAATGATGGGCGGTTACCTGCACTCCAACAATAGTGAGTGCGCCTCATGACAATTGACTTCTCTCAGATTGCTAATATCAATTTTTTCTTCCTCCGATAGTTCTATTCTATTTCGCCGAGTCCCCCTTCTTTGATCCAACTTCGAATAATGCCTCCCTCGCCATCCAAGCAAACTACAATGAAGCCTTCCGCCACTTCGTCGAGACGCGCGAAGCCTTCGAAGATCGTCTAAAGACAATGTCTGGCCTTGAATTTATCGTATCCTACGATCCTTTACAAGCCGCCGCGCATTCGGACACTCGCTTCGCCCATGAGCCGTCCAATGTCTGGGTGATTCGGAAGCAAAACCGGCGAGGCGACGAGGTGACCGTAATCTCGACATACTTTGTTGTCGGCGACTGCATTTACATGGCGCCCTCTGTTGCCAGTGTAGTTGGTAACCGAATTGTAAGTTTTTGCTTTGTATCTTCTGGGTTCGGAATCAAACAAGCCGCTAACGCGACTCTTTCTACTTCCAGTTGTCGGCCGTCACCTCTCTATCTCGACTCATGAAGACCGCTTCAACATTGCCGAACTTCACCCCATCTCACGGACACACCTACCTGCCACCCGTGGCCCGCACCGCAGAATCCAGCCAGCAGGGATCTGTTTCTCAGCAGAGCAAAGAAAACACACCCATGCCCGATATACCCTCCCAAACGCAATCCAGCATCGAAACACAAACAACTAGTAAAACAGGACTGGGAATCTCGGGCTCCAGCTCCAGCTATCAGGATACCCGCAGTTTAGCCGACGCATTCAACCTCTTCACTCGCTACGGGGACGAATTTATGGACGAAAATCCCTTGCAGGGTGAACCGGGATCGTTCATCTTGTCCAGAAATGGCGGTGAGAATGACCGTGCTGCAGCTGCGAATAAACCTACCGTGAAGGCAGTTGCTGCATCGGCATCGGCATCAGTCAGTACACCTGTACCCGGCCGGGTGTCGACACCGCAGGTCCGAGTCGATACTCCTGGGAAAGCTTCGGATAAGAGTAACTCGCCGCCCAGCTCTGGTGAGAATAAGGGGAAACGGAAGAAGAATCGCGTTGCGAATTGAATTGAATTGTAATTATGATACCCTTTCTATGATAGACATGGAATGCGAAAGATGTTATTTATACACTTGGAAGACACTTGTAACTTGGCCGATATGAAATATTCAATGTGGCATTTCTGGATTTCTAACAGCCGTAGCTTGATTCTTCATTGACTATGCGTTGAATGGCAAATATCATGATGTCAATATTTTTGCGGCCCTCCAGGGCTGGCTGTGATCTGGCGATCCATCTTTCTACATCGCCTACGGCCTAGGTTGAGCATTCTCCGATTTGATGCTTACATAGGCCGGTCTGTGTAGTTGATACTAGCAGGTGTAGAGTTGTAGTCTCGTAAATGTTTATCTGCATAGGCAAGAGCATCATCCATGAACCGATCCAGATCGAACTGCTCAACAAGACCCTTCTCCTGTAATTCCAAAATACCATTTCTAGTCCAGCTAACGCAGTTTTGTTCCGGCTTAGCACCAGGTTGTGGAAGTGCAATATCCTTGAGAATATCACGAAAACCCGCGTTGGTGATTCCCTTGGGTAGTTTCTCAATCATCACACTTCCCAAAAAGTGAGCAATCGCTTGAGGGTCGGTATAGGTCTTTTCTCGGAAGTTCCAGTTGCCGTCAGGGTTCAGATTTATGCCGGTTGTCTCGTCTAGGAGGATTCCGTCACTTGCGTCGAAAACGCAGCAATTTGATTCTGTGGGGTTTTTGGAGCATATGAGTATACCCCAGTGAAAGGCTGCGTGGCCGAGTCGTTGTCTGTTTTCGCGGATCGAGAGTGCGGAGCGATGTTGTAAAGAAAGGAAGACATGGCGTTTGTTTTTCATGGTTGTTGGATGAGATGGAACTTGAAGCTAGGTATATTTTGCCGTTTGAATGTGGTATGTGGTATGTGATATGTAGTGGGGGTATAGTAGAGGAAATTCAAGTTACCAGCGTGACTCCCGTGGTTTGGACAGTAAGGAGTTGTATGGGAGATCTACCATTATATGATTGCTACTAGAACTACTACTAGATGGTTTGAAAGGTTGGGCTCAGTAGCATAGGTTCTATTGTGATCTCTATAACTACAGTATGGATCATCTAATTATAGTTTACTGAGAAAGCCTGGGCATGAAGGACTTGACTATACTCGCACTAGATCTCCAGAACAACCAATGTACAGCTGACCACGTCAAACCAAAGTGGATCACCAAAAGGACCAAACCTGTTGGTAGTTTGGTGAACCCAGCCAGTCGGACAGCTTAACCAGCCTCCGTGCATTTGAGTCATTTGAGTCACCCATTTTATCTCTTATCGTGGTGGAACCTATAGTTCTCAGCCATTGAGAAGAGTTCTAAGAGTCCCATAACCACTGGATCTCTGGGAACCATTGTTACTACTTCCGTTCTTCTGCCACGTCACAAAGAATACATATATCGTCTTCTCCCTGCTATTTTATTCACGAGTACACGAGACACTCTATCTGTATAGCTTCACGGATATCATATCATTCATCATGACCCAACAAGACAAGCCTGCGGTGGTTTGTGTATTGTGAGTCAACCTTCCCCCTCCCCCTCACCCGCCGATCTTCCTCCCCGCGGACCTCCCCAGCATCCTCAATATGCCCTCAGCAGCTTTAAGGGGGGGGGGGAAGGGAGCTCTCTTCTGGGCGGGAAACTCACTCTAACAAATCATACTAACCTCTTTCCCTTTAGCTGTGGTGCCGGGGCAGGTAACGATCCAGTCCACCTCGAGGCGGCGCGGGGCCTCGCCCAAGAGTTCCACAAGAACAATGTCCAACTAGTCTACGGCGGCGGAACAACAGGCCTAATGGGCGAGATTGCCAGAACCCTCGTTTCTCTCTCCGGTCCCAAGGCTGTCCACGGCATCATCCCCCGTGCCCTAGTCAAAGTCTCCACGAAGAGCAACGGCAACGGCAACGGCACCTCAGCGCAACAAAACGGCGAAGGCAAGGCTGCCGAGCGCGTCGTCGCAGAGGCTATCGATGAAGCAGGTATTCCAGAGTCGGAATATGGTATTACAACTATCGTGCCGGACATGCACACGCGCAAGCGGTTGATGGCTACAAAGGTTATGGAAGGTGGGAAGGGATCCGGCTTTGTTTCTCTTGCTGGTGGCTTCGGAACTATTGAGGAAGTCATGGAGATGACGACTTGGAACCAGCTCGGAATTCACCGGGTTGGTTTGGTGTTGGTGAACATTAATGGATACTGGGATGGTCTCCTGGCCTGGGTTCGCAATGCAGTCGATTCCGGTTTTATCACTGGCGAGAATGGATCGATCTTGGCTGAGGCTCGTGATGTGGCCGAGGTTTGGCCCAAGCTTGTGGAGTACCAGGTCAGCCGTGATCGAATGCAACTGAACTGGGGAGAAGAATAAGGATACGAGTACGTCATTCAGATTGGATATTGCATAGATCCAGACATACATAGCGCGTGGAGCTCGGGGTTCTGGGTTCTTATGGGCTGTATTTTCGGGGGTTCTTTCGTTTTTCTTTTCGTCTTTATTTTCTTCTCTTTTGGTCCATAATCATGAACGCTCTAGATGATAGAGTAGAAACTATTAGGCCTGGAATGGGCACTTTTCCATCCCAACAATGAGCATACAGTAATATATAGTAAAAAAACCCCTAAGGGCAAAAAGGCACAGCATAAGCAGATAATATTTCATGTCTATGCGAATCATTAAAAATCAAGAAGTTTATGAGTCGACCTCCATGGACTCCTCTGCGGCACCATCTGCCCGCTCAAGGGCCTCCAACAAGGGCACCGTCTCCTGACCCTCGTAAAGCTTGAAGCTCTCAATCCGGCCCTTTGACCCCTCAGGCGCCAATCCAACCACACCAACCGAGGTATTATCCACTGTGAGCTCCTTATCCTGCGACAGTGTCTCCTTGAGAGCTCGCAAACCGTGGGTAATCAGCTCATCGCGGCTGCTATCGGGGAACTTGTCGAGATTCCGCTCCAGGTACGTGCGCGCCATCTGGGAACGAGCACCGATAGCACAGGCAGCCATCTCATGTGTGAGGCCCGAGGGCTGGAACTCAAACAGATGCGGGCCGGACTCGTCGACACCAGCCACCAATAGGCCTACACCGTAGGGCCGTTTTCCGTAGTGCTGCGTGTTGGTCTGCGCTCGGTCGCCGATTTGGTTAACGATACGGTCCAGGGGGGATTGGCCGGCCGTAGGTCATCTTGGAGCCGAGAGATTGCTGCTTCATGAAGTTGGAAAGAACGCGGGCATCTGAGGCCAGGCCAGCGATGGCAATGGCCATGTGGGAGTCGATCTCGATGATCTTCTTCTGATAGGAGGAGAGTTCTTCGGCATTACGCTGGAGGGGAATCGTAGGTTAGTTCATTGTCTTGATTTGTTGTCTATCGTCCCTGTTGAGGGACAGATGGAGTGGAGTGGAGAGCGAACCTTGAGGCCGACCAGCACTACATGTGTCTTGTTCACCAATCCCACGACCACGGATCCTTGCTTCACTGCTTCCTGTGCGTATTCAACCTGGAATATCCGCCCTTGCGGGGAGCTTTGGGGCTTCTGTTAGAACTGATTATGAATTCGCGGAGAGGTTGGGGTAAGGTCTTACAAGGTGACGGCATCGTTGTCGTAGTTGTTTCTGAACATCGCGAATGGAGGAGACTGATGGGTCTTTCAGATATAGAGGATAGAGGTGAATCTGGCAATCAATGAGGGGAAATCGAAGCGCAACAACAAGAGAAGGACTCGGGGGCGGAGATGGGGGAAGCTGAAGCAGGCAGTTAAGGTGACGCGGTGTGAAGCATCGAGCTCTTGTGGCCTGAGGCCGCAACACCCAGTGACCTTCAGGCGCCAACGTCACTCATTCCTCGCAACACCTCCAAAGCTATCTCTCCCCTCGCTCCCTGTCAATGGGGCTGCCATCCCTCGACTACTACTGAGATACCTTGTCTGACACTTGCGCTACCATTCCATATCTGATCTTAACCCCTCCCGACAACCAAACGGCTTCGGTGACTCCGCAATCATGGCTGCTGGACTCAAGACCATCATCGCGCTCTCCTTTGTACGCTGCACCCCGCCTGCTATCTTGCGCCAGTGGAAGAAGGAACATTTGCTGACTTATAACAGGTGCTTGCGATCGGATTCCTCCTCGTTATTCTCTCCTCCGCACTATGGCACAAGTACTGGCCTTTGTTGGTCGTTGCCATCTATATCATTGCGCCGCTTCCCAATTGGATCTGTGCACGATGTGCGAACCCAGACGACTTTATGGACAGCTCGAGTAGCTCAGCGATGGACTTCGGGCGCTTCATGACTGGGTTCTTGGTTTTGACTGGTATTGGTAAGTTGGTCGCCTTCTCAATGCGTCACTTTACCCTCCAGCAGTCCATTTGATTGAGTACCCCGGGACCGAGATCGGAAACGTCTTTTGGATATCGTCCGGGGAAACTCATTAATTTGTTCCGCATTGCTCGTTTCGCCCGTGTTCATTAAATGAGATTGCTAACACCCCACCCCGTACTTAGCCCTCCCCGGAGTTCTAGCTCACAGCGGAGCCATCGAAATCCCGGCTATGATCATGTCTATCTTCGGCGGTCTTTTGATTTATGGAACTATTATCAGCTTTTCCATGTTCTTCCAAGAACAGGAGGAGTTCTGATAGCGAATGACGGCTCCTCGGGCGGGACTGGGTACAAGTACAACCGGCACTTCCCTGTTCTAGTACAACGAGAAGGGTTCCTCACACACCCACATTGCTTTTCATGATGATGTTACTCTTGCGCGACCAACTTGATTTTCACGTATTGCACACCTGGGCCATATACTTCGGGTGGGTGCTGGAGATAGTTCCAGCGTCAATTTGCCATACCTGTATGGCCAGCATTTCTTTGGCTATGGTAGCTATGATACTCTGAATGGTTTTTAACACAGTGTATATATATATATGTCGCATTCAGTTCAAGTTTTTCTTTGGATCTATCAGATTACCAAAATTTTTGTGTAGAATCGCTGGAATGTTCGTCAATTGAATCCCGTGACTGGGAGTTGAATGTCGTACTAGTACCTAGACTTGAGAATTTTGTAGTATCACTTACCTTTGGCACTCCGAAACTCTCAAGATCGTCAATAAGGGGTCATACTAGTAGGCATTTCTAATACTGGGAAGTGGTCATTGCCGCCTTTGATTGGAAGTCCGTCTCATGAATGCGTAGTGCCCCCATGTCAGACCGACCCCACTAGCGCGCGTTCCAGGCGCGTCGGCGAAGTTGCAGGATGCCAATGCTTGACCGCCCACTTCCAAGGTTCAACAACACCACGAAGATGAATCTGAGGGTACTACGACCTGGTAACTCTTGAATATGAACGTCTGGTCAGGGTCTATTGCCCTGGATCCAGACCAGCTGTTGGAAGGTAAAGCAATAAACACCGATCTCGCTGTATACAGTTGGCTGACATACCAGGTATCCGCTTGGTTGATTCGACGTCACACTGGCAATGCGATGTATCCAAAGACAGCAAACTCGAGCTTCGAAGCTTTGTGAATCCAGCTCTCATCCCTCTCCACGCACGCGCTGGCCCCAATCTTGAACTACACTCACTCAACCCGACGACGTCACAATGGCTCCAGCGCAAATTGACCGGCGCAATCTGGGTGAACGAAGATGAGCTGGATCTACACCAATCCCTACAGTGCCCGGTTGGCCTGTTGGTCAGAGTTACTGGCAGTACGATCAAGAAGACCGGTCCCGCTACTTCTGATTTCTTGATCTATGGCGTGTTATCCAGTTCAACCTCTTGCGCACGACCACCCACTCCTCCACACTCGTCTCCGTCCGAAACCAACAACAATACAAATGCCTCCACAACGAAACCATATGAGTTGCGAGTGTATGCAGCTCCCCTCTCTACAACCCAACTCAAACAAGCCCGAGCCTTCCCTTCTCCACCACAAAGTTCCAGCGGCGAACATGGCTCTGCCCCAGCCGAGTTCCTCCCAGACATCAGCTCGCCTAGCCCTAAACGGAAACGAGTAGCAACACTATTCGAGAGCGCAGCGCTACACCACCGGCGCGTCCGCCAAAGAGGCGGCGAAGCCGTCTCACAAATGATGGCACCGATCCGGCCATCCTCATCCTCGCAAAACATCTCCTCGCTCCGTATAAAGCGTGAGCCCGATGACGACCAACTAGGACTCCCAAGTCTCGACCGCATCGCCGCGGCTCGAAGATCCCGCTCCGTATCCATCGGAGCCAATCTACACCGACAGGGAAGCTTTCGCGGTTCTCGCGCTACCCCCAGTGCGAGTGCGAGTGTGAATGTGAACGCCGATCCGCAAAAACGTGCACCAACGCCAAACCCATTCCTAGAACAAGGTTCTCGTCGTGGATCACAACAAATCCTGCCACCATCTGCCTTGTCATCCTTCGCAGAGGGAGATATTGATAAGTCAGTCACCACGGCGGCGGCGGTGGCACCTTCATCTCCGCCTAAAAATCCCGAATCCATCATTGCGGATAACAAGAGCCTCATCACGCGCACAATTCTGACGTGTATGCGGCTTTACGGTTTTCATCGCTCCAACGCAAAGTCCGCGACTAAACCAGCTGCAGGAGGAGGAGGAGGGTCGGACCCAGATCCAGCAGAATCATCGAACGCAACGCCCGCCCCAGAAATCCCGCGTGCCGAGACACCGGCTCCCGGTGCCTCGGCGGATGATGATGAGTTTAAAGCAATGTATCACGCGACTTATAAAGCCGCCGCCTTTGCATTGCGCAAATATCTCAAAGATCCGGCTGTCGGGTCTGGATCTTCCCCTTCGGTATTGGAGAAGGGTAAAGCGATGACTTGCATTGATGAGCTCCTGCGACTTTTCTGTGAAGATCATTGATGTGATGGGCTGGGATGGGATGGGTGTCTCGCGGATGCTATATTATGACTTTATGGATTCATGTATCTATTCATTTGGAATTGGCGTTTTAGGTTTCGCATGGGATGGCATTAGGCACACATTTGCAAGGAGTTTCGTTACCAGAGCTTTCATTTTCATAGTTCAATATCATGGCGATTGTCTTCTTTTTGCTACGACTCGTGATTTGTTTCGGCGTAGTATAATTATGCCAGTTTAGATCAGGCTATTAGGAACCTTGGGATCTTTCTCCGATTCCTGTTACGAACAAGAATACTAAAAGCATGTATCCCTCTCATTGCCATCTAGCCGATGGCAATGAGAGCATTATAGCGTGAATAAACCAGTACTAGGTATTTAATGAGCAAGCCTCCTGGATACAATCTACGAAAACCGTGTCATTCTGTGGAAGAGTCATAAAATAGATTTCATCCATGCTAAGCTCTAACAGGGTAGCCAGAGATGCGAGTAATCAAAAAAGGGGAGCCATCATATCCGCGCATAAAATACAGACAAACCAAGTCACGAGTTTCCAGGTACCTCATCAAAGCATCTCTTTACAATGCGAGATTGTAGGTATAATCGTCCTCGATGTTCTGAGAAACCCAGAGAACAATAGAACTGTCGCGTAGAATTAGCATTAGCATCAACATCAACATCAGAATATGCAATCGCAATCAACATCTCATCTCCACATACCTCAGCATAACCAGACCATTGGCAACAATATTCGCAATACCAAAGTATAGCGTCTGAATCGGATAATCCTTGATAAGATACTTGAGAACCATAACCGTCTGCGCAAAAAAGGAAAGAAGATTAGTCACTGCTCATCTCCGGGACACAAGCACAATATCAATAAATGCATGGGAAAAACGTACAACACTGCCCGCAAGTCCACCAGCCAATAAAGCAAATCCAAGGAAGAGCACAAAGCGCGCCTTCCACGCAACCCCACTACCACTGTAGCTGAAGCTATCGGCCTGCAGCCGCGACTTCTCGATCGAGTTGATCACCAGCATACCCAGCGCCGAGCAGATGCCGGGAATCCAGTCGACGAACTTGATATGCACGTCCGAGCCATTGCGGGGGCTGTGGGAGAATGAGGCGACGTCGATTAGGAAGAAGAATCCGGCCGCGAACTAGAAAGGGATGATTAGCTTGTGTTTGCGATTACGGGGTATATGCAGCCCAGCCCCGGGTAGTAGGGCTTGGGTCTGGTCTGGTCTTCCAGGTCCAGCTCCATGGGCGGGTCGAGTTGGACGATAGGACTCACCAGTGCGCCGGAGACGTAAACTCCCGTGTTTCGGACGGCGGAGTTGTTGAGCCATTCTGGCTTTGAGAAGCGGAAGAGTCGGTTGTTTGAGACGTCCATTGTGTTGTTGGGTTGACTTGATGATTTGGAGGGAATGAGCTGGTGGCCTCGGAGCTGCCTGTGATGACGACTGGGGGTGGTCGGAGGAATGTCGGGCCGGGGGTTGTATGAGGTACATCTCAGGGTAGACCTAGCAAGCAGAAGATGCGAACTGCGGTTACTTTCTCCAAGTCCCCTGTATGGGCCATTTCGAATTGAAGGTGGAAATTGAATAAAAATTATTTTTGTTTACCCTAATTATCGACGGAGTTGGTGGAAATGTCGGTCATCGCCCGGGCGTATACTAGTATGCCACCTGAGCACACGATACTGCGCGATATATACATCACTGAGTGAGGACGAAAACATAAATGAAATTAGACATGAGAAATCAAATAAATTGAAGGTTACCAACTTGAATGTATCTCATTTCTAAAATATTGATTCTTAAGATGTTTAGTTGCTGGATTAACGAGACAATTTCTCCACAGATGTGTATGGAGGCAGATTCTGTTGGGTCCCCAAGGTTCGAGCCACTGAGTAGTGCTGTAACCCGTGGACCTTGAAAGGAGATAACGCTACCTGTCGTATCCCGAGGTTCTAGTATTCCTCCATGGTATCCACGGATGCATTTGATTAAGTTTCCAATGTAAAGCATACGCGTAATGTCTTTGATCACAATGAAACCTTTAGCCCAGGCAACAGTATATTCCTTGGCATGCAATCTACACGAATAAGTACTACGTACCACTTTTACTACCTAGGTAGGTAAAAATTTACATACTTTCTAGGTGACCATGTTTGTCAGGAAGTTTCATATCATGAGCTTCGTCAATTCAGTAGGACCTAGTACATAGTCCCGGGGTATATACAAATCTATCTAACCACTTTCTTCTGCCTGGAAACTAGCATGCGTAATTTCAGCAACGCAAGCAGTTCGGCACGAACCTAATATCGCATTCTCATCCCACGGGTTTCATGAGAAGAGAAGATAGGCACCCGTCGTCGTTGTGTCTGGGTGTGAATGATAGGTTCGGACCGTCACCCACGGCAAGGTAGCCAAGCCAAGCCAAGCCAAGCTGTCCCGTTTCACCGGCAGAGTAACTTGGAAGTAAGGCCTTGCGATGAAAGGAAGACGCCGAGCATCTTCCGCTACACATGCCTCCAGCAGGGTGTATGAAGAGTCATCGCTGCGATTGTGGCTCTTCAAGCAGACGCAACGGGGTGAGCGCGGAGCTTGTCCATAATCATATCCACAGCCTCCATGTCCGCGGCATCGGTTTTATCTGTGGGGTAGCCTTCGGGGAGGCTCTTGGACAGCTCGTTCATGGCGGGCTGATAGTTACGGACGGCGGAGGAGAGGGCGTAGACGGCCTTCTTGCGGGTGGCGGGGATGGAATCGGTTGTCGCAACATTCACGAGAGAGGGGATGGCGTTCAAGACGATGAGCTGTGTAATAAATATGTTAGTTATATATGTCATATTCAAGTATACATCATGTGTATATATTTTGCTTTTTCACCGAATGGTAGAGCTGGCGGGGTATCACATACCTTATCTTGAGCTGTCTGATTGTTCTGCACAGCAGTACCAATACACCACGCGGCCATGCGGCGCATATCAGCATCCTCATGCTGAAGCAACTTAACCAATGGAGTCCACAGGCCGAGAGGCTCCAGGTTATTCGCATTATCAATACCCTCGATCATCTGCTCGAAGTTGTCGAATGCGATCAATTTGTTCTCCAGGTCCGTCTCGTCCGAGTGGAGCATTTCCATGGCAGCCTTCATGAGATCGGCATCGGAGGGACCGCCCATGAGCGCATTGATCATGTCTGGCGTCAGGTTGCGCTGGAGTTCTTCGGCGCTGGCGGGGGCAGTGACGGAGCCGTCCTCATTTTGCTGCTGGGAGTTCTGGACACTCCATTTGAGGAGCTTGTTCATTTCGGGATTCATTTTGGTGTGATTGGAGATGGTATTTTCCGGGGTGAAGGGGTTGTGGAGGGTATTTGGGGATATAAAGTGTAGTCGCAAAAAGTTCGAGAATACTTTGATACATGGCGGGCTCTATGATATAACTGCCCGCCATACCCACATTTGAATGACTAAGGAAATGACTAGACTATTCGGGAAGCGCCCAGCGGCTTCGATCAGCTGATATCACGTGGCTTGACACGTGACCTTCCTTCACCGTCTTTGAAATGGCGGTAAATGGGGCGGCTTGTGTTAGGCTAGTAGGTCAATTGGAAGTGGACAAGAGGTGAAGTGGCAGCTAGGGGGGAGGGGAAAGGGCTGCAGCACCATGAATAATGGAATTGGGTGTTTTACATATTCCTCCGTACATTCCTGGGAGGCGAGGAGTTGTGCGAGCAAGTCAAGTACCTTTAGAGTATTCCCATGGCATTCCAACGTGGTTTGTTGCAGCGAAAGGAGGGGTTTCTATACTTAGAAGTGACCTGGCCAATCTCTCGTACCCTCGTACACTCGTAAACTTTACAGCCTCCCTCCCCTCCCTCCCCTCCCCGCCACATACGACAAAACCTGGATGGGTGAATTGCGGAAGCCTGGGGTCCTCAATTCAGGCGGCCATGCTGTTCAACCACGTCTACTGGGTGCATTGGACTCTGACAAGGTGAAATCGTGGAGCCGGCTCTCCCGTAAGACTGTAAATTGTTTGTATTGCTCTTTCTCTTTTTGTGGCGAAGATGCCCCCGGTCCCGAAATAGGGTCATCCCCAAACATAGGAGCCCCACGAGGGTGCGCAATCCATCATGGGAAGAGGTAGGATTAGTTGTAGAAAGTGTTTCTGCCTTGGGAGACAAGAGCCATGGAAATGGAGATATATAGGGACGATCGGGGCGGGTTTAGTCGAGGGTCAAGTTCCTCTTGCGCACACACCAGGCAGTGGCAGTGGCAGATCCATAGTGTGAAGTGTGTAGTGTGTGGCAGTCCAGTCCCAACCCTCCCCACTTCCTTCTCGTCTCCCTCTTCTTCCCTCTTCCCCCCCCCCCTACCTATTCTCAACTCTATACTCCCTCCTCCCCTTTTCTCTTCTCTCCATCTCCTTTTAATCCACATCTCCTTTCTCAGTCACAATGGAAGGTATGTTCTATCATCATATATCCCCCCTCCCTCAGTCGCAGGTTCTCGCTTGAGGCCACTCCAGCCACGTCAACTCTAAGCCTCCCCCCCCCCAAATAGCTGGGGAGAGCTGAGCCTGATCATGAGCTGCTGGTCATCATCCCAACTCTCATCTGGAACACCTCGCTAATCCATTTCGTCTACTACAGAGGAAGTCGCTGCTCTCGTTATCGACAATGGGTATGTGATGAATCAACTGGTCGCCTGAGAGTTGGTCCTGGTGTTTTGGGGTCTCACGCCGCCCGGTCGCGCCCATCTCAATCACTGCCCCCCCTAATTCGCCGCCCCGGCAAATTGAGTCCCAATCGCACACCAGGCCACCTCCAGGATCCCGACCGATTAGCAATTATGTCGATTATCGATAGAGAGGATTTTTTACTGATGCTTTGTTTCTAGTTCGGGTATGTGCAAGGCCGGTTTCGCCGGTGATGACGCCCCCCGAGCTGTCTTCCGTAAGTGCCACATAACCCCCTCCGTCCCCTCAGACA